TGTACTGAATGATGCTGACATCACCAAAGCCCTGGATGAGTGCAAAGGTGATTCCTCGTCCTCGCCGACTCCTTAACCTTGTGCCAGTGATTTGTTTCATGCTTGACGTGTTTTTCTTGTCCATTTGAGCTCAACAAATGTTTTTTTTTCCTTTCCGATTCCAGGCGCTGACTCATTCGACTACAAGAAGTTCTTCAAGACATGCGGTCTGGCTGGAAAGACCGCCGAGGATGTCAAGAAGGCCTTCGCCATCATTGACCAGGACAAGAGTGGCTTCATTGAGGAGGATGAGCTGAAGTGAGAAACACAGATTTCATCTTCTGTTCTGACTAGAAGCCGGCTTTTTATCAAAGCAGGCCTTGGTCGATGGCAGCAGGACTTATGTTCCATCTCTGCTTGCCTTCAGACTGTTCCTGCAGAACTTCTCTGGAGGTGCCCGCGCTCTGACCGACGCTGAGACCACGGCTTTCCTCAAGGCCGGWGACAGCGACGGTGACGGCAAGATTGGAGCTGATGGTAAGCCGATCGGTCCCTCACCCCCTTAAATGCACCAGCAACTAAGACCCCCACACAACAAAATAYACCTGATGTTTTCTGTCTGCCCCTGCAGAGTTCGCTGCCTTGGTTAAGGCATAAGACAGCAACAGACCAACAAGCACCTGCTCTGATGGAACAACAAAGCCCACGTCGACCTCCCCCTTTTCATCTGACTATAAACAATTTTTATACATTTGCTCAAGGGACATTTCCTCCTCTACGCAACACACTGTCCAGAAGTGATGATTGTGAATGTCGCTCGGTTGTGTTCATGTCTTAATATGAATTTTGCTAACTGTAAAATCTACGATGCACTTTCCAGGAACTAAAGGTGAAAGAATAATAAACATTCTTTTGCTGCGGTATTACGCCTCTGCTTGTGTTGTATTTGCTCTGTGTGAAAGATTTTCTCGTTGAGTTGAATAAGATTTTAAAAAAGACAGAAAAGAACAAACAAATTAAACCCAGAATCATTTTTTTTGACTGGGCATTCCCTGTGACTTCATCCTCAAACTTTAAACATCAGACCTGAAAGAATACCTGACATCTTTCACTTATATTAAACAGATCAATGTCGCAATTAAATACCTCTAACAATAACAAACAAGTCATGATCAAAAAAACAAGATAATCAGACAGACAGACAGACAGACAGACAGACAGACAGACAGACAGACAGACAGACAGACAGACAGACAGACAGACAGACAGACAGACAGACAGA